ATCGTGATCTGCTTCAAAGTGGCCGTTGTGGTGATCTGGCCGTTGTGGTGTCCAGCACCACCTTATGAGAGGTGGGGCGCGGCACGAGTACTAGACGCGCTTTGTTTTCGTACTGGACATTAGAGGCACCCCTGAGGGGTGTGCCTTGTCTTAGTAGCAATTTTTTTACAGTCGGTGAGAGGACCGTTCGGCTAAACCTCACACCTAGCAACTCACTGACCAACATCTGGCCTGAGGCTATAACGCTCGAGGGCCACGGCCGCTGCATCAGCTCCGTGGCCTTCTCGCCCGACTCGCAGCGGCTCGCGTCCGGCTCCAACGACAAGACCGTCAAGCTCTGGGATCCGAGGACGGGCGTCTGCACGGCGACGCTCAAGGGCCGCCGATAGGTGCGCGCCCGGGCGCGCAAATAAGATTCATTATGTGAGCTGCCCCACAAATCCAGCGACCGCGCCCAATTAAGTACACCGGCAAAGAGGCGGATCGTCCACAGAAGGACCATGGCGGTGTCTTCACATAGAGCCTCTACACGCATTTATTCACGAACCTCTGAGTGCTTTATCGCCACGACTACGAGCATAATGTCAGGCGAGTCTCTGCTCCATGAGCTCCCTCCTAAAGGCGATTATCGCTCCCGAGAAGCGCTGGTCGCGGCTTTGAATTCTTGGGCAGCGGACAGGCCGGCGAATCGTGCCATTTGGCTGTGATCGAGCCGGGGCCCGGCCTGATTTATCGACTCCGCGCCAGCGATCAACTACATCAAAGCGCACAGGCTGCCGCTTCTCAGTGCTCGCAAGGGAAGCTCTCGATAAGTCAGTGTGGCGCCTTGCGCATCGCCCCGGTGTCGAATTTGGTCACCACAATCATGACCTGAGCGTGGATATAAGCGCTCATCCAGTGCATCGCCGGACGTGTGATACCGATGTATCAACCATTGCAAACCTCACGAACGCTAGGGTAGCGCCGAGGGACATCAGAACCTACCTTCGCGAGCACTCAACTACTCAGGCAACGCAGCAAGACGTGTATAACTATATCGCTCAGCAAAAGCGAGACTCACAGAAGGGCGAAAGCACTATTCACGCCCTCGCCAATGAACTTAAGGCAGAAGGCTTCTGGAATCGTATCCGGTTTGATAATACCGGCCGGGTCACAGCTGTGTTATTTGCACACCCAGAGTCGTTAGGGTATCTCAAGCTATACCCAGATACCCTTATTCTGGATTGTACATACAAGACGAATAAGTATAAGATACCACTTCTCGATATGGTCGGTGTTGATGCCTACCAACGATCCTTCTGTATCGCATTTACCTTCCTAAGCGGCGAGGAGGAAGAGGACTGTTTCTAGGCGCTAGACCGGCTGCGCTCGATCTACACTATATGCGGCGCAACGCTACCGACTGTTATTCTCACCGACCGCTGCCTGGCTTATATAAATGCGGTGTCATCTTGCTTCCCCGGCGTGGCATCTCTCCTATGCCTATGGCATGCTAATAAGGCAGTCCTTACTTATTGCCAGCCGAGCTTTAATAGGGATAATATCGCGATTAACAGTCAATAGGAGGACTTCTATGGGAGGTGGCATGACCTTATGGCATCACTAACCGCCGATGCCTTCGAGCAAAAGCTCCAGGCCTTGAAAGAACGTTATGCTATATCCCACACCCGAGAAGTTGGGTATATCGTGGAAGTCTGGCTCGATCCATACAAAGAGAGGCTCGTGAAGGCCTGGGTCGATAAGCACACGCATTTTAATAATGTGGTTACTTCTCGAGGTGAGGGTATTCATAACCTTATCACAATCCATCTCGGGACCAGCCAACTTAATCTCTTTGACGCCTGGAAATCGATCAAACGCGCAGTTATTAACCAAATAGCGTCACTTCGGGAGAATCAAGCCAAGCAGCGACTTCGTATACCTATTAAACTCAATAGCAGGCTATATAATATTGTGCACGGCTAGATCTCGTATAAAGCATTGCGGAGGGTCGATAGCCAGCGGAAGCTGATTATACAAGGCAAGGAACAAGGCAAGGAACGCCCTGCTTGCACAGGAATGTTCATAGCGTCACTCGGTCTCCCTTACGCTTATGCACTCGAGCCCCTTATACAAGATCAACGCCCCCTCTTATTAGATCAATTCCACGCGCACTGGCACCTCCAGCGAGAAAAGAGGCTACAATTCCTTATTGAGCCACAACAGCGAGTTAATCGAGCCGTGGCTCGATCAACGCTACCAAATACAAGCACTCGCCGCGAGCCAAGCGCATTTAAGGCTATTAAGGACGCATCTAGGGCACCGACACAAGCCAAGGCATCGCCTAGATGCTCAGTGTGTGGCAAGGTTGGCCACACGAAGGTATCACGGCTATGTGAGCTACGCTATGCGCATATTATGCCATCATCAACGCTGGGGCCAGCGTCGGCATCAACCCTATCCCAGCCTCATCACGGCCTCACCACGCCGCCGCCGCCGCCGCCGCTAGTAGCATTGTCAAGAGTTTGGCTCGAGGGAGGTACTCCATGAGCTCTCTGGAGTGCGTGTCCCTAAGTTCGAAAGCCTCACCATTGTTGCCATAATCAGCAGCGTGCCCACGCGCGGTTTAGAGCAGATTATCGTACACTTAATCGTCTTGAACAGGGCCGAGTACAAAAAGCTACTCGACGTAGAATATAAGTAATTTCATCCATCCAGCTGCTACATACTTCTTACAGCAAGAAGCATAATAGTCCTCTTAAAAAGCCCTCAATTTGCGTGTGGCGCACTTCTATCAAGGCTGTTCATCGATGCTCTGTCGTTTCCCTACTACGCCCAGCCAAAAAAAAAAACTCTATCGCCCACGTTATGACAAACTCGCCCGCAAACATTGCATCTCGACAGTAAAGACGTCTTCCTCATGCTTCCATGGCGTCAACCTCCTCTTCCTCTTTCGAGTTTGGCCATTAAGGTTGATAGACCCAAGAGGTTGCCGGGCGTGGGACTCCGCCTGCATCAAGTCCACGATCATACATCTACCAGTGCGTTTATCGTAGAGCACGTTGCGTAGCTCTGCATCGCAGTGGAGAACTCGGTACTGATGCAATCGACCGAGCGCAGTGAGAATCTCGTTGGCGACACTTGCGTTGACCTCTCCCAGTTCTCGCAAGACTGGTCGCCCGCCATAACTAAGGAGCATGAAGTACTTATACACGCCGCTATCATAGTAGTAGGGCTTGATGAGGTCAAGGGTACCGAGACAGACCGGAACGACCTTCCCCTGGAGGTCCCGAAGATGATCGTATATCTTGTTTTCGTAGCGTAGATGCTTGGCATCCACAGCCTCTACGCCTTTTGCCACAAGCGTGTAGCCATGTGACGACAGGCGGACTTTGAAGAGGGATCCACGTGATCCTGATAGGTAGAGCGGCACGCAATCGGCATCCTCTCCACGATCCACTGCTATTTGATCCCGTATCAGGCGAATGAACTTGCGTCGGTTGATGTGCATATTGCCATGATCCGTGAAGTTGGGACATTTCTCATCCATGGGGCCACCAAACGCTAGCCCACGAAGACACTCGTGCGTGCAGTATGGTCGGTCATGGATGCTTGGTCGCCTGGTAGTACCCTCTCGTGAGGCTGCCCTTCCATCCTGCTGCTGTATTTCGCTCGACCGGACGTCTGTTAATGTAACCAAGGCCCCTCCGTGACTAACAGCTGGGTTTGGTGTTGGGGAAGGGCTCTCATCATCATCGTTATCGCTGTCGTCACTGCTTGGCTGCTGCATCCCGTCCTGCGGTGGCTGGCATCGGGAGCGTGTCTGGATCGGAGAGCGTACAAACCCTTTCCAGCGCTGAGGTTTATAAGGAGTTTCACGTTGCGGCTTCCGATCTGTTGCTGGAATGCTCCGCAATACGTCTTCATACTCCACAGACCATATATCGAGGTTTTCAGTAGCGTCATGCCAGGCTTGAGGGGGTGGCGGCGATCGGATGGCCTGAAGCACAAAGGCAAAGGCTTGCGC